GTATGGGAGAATATGGGAGACCCTTGGATTTGTGTGTATTTATTTGTGTGTCCCTGGGCCCCCTCACTGATGCAGTCGGACAGTCAGTTGATTTAGGCAGTCAATCCGCGTGATCTGATACAGTCGGACAGTCAGTCGATTCTGGTAGTCAACTCGTGCGATTAGATGTAGTCAGATAATCATCTGAATTGGACGGCCCTTTGAACAGGTGGACAAGTGGACAGCCCAGCGTGTGACCTCCCGAGCGAGCCTGCAAATTCCCACGGGAAAGGGCCCGCCCTGTTTCAACCTGTCCCTGAAATAAACGACCAGCCCAGCTTCGGCAGTTCATCTGGGGCTCTGGGCGACCCAACGTGAGCAAACTGGTGTTCTGCCTCTCCGCGCCACTCGGCCTGCTGCTGCTGCTCCCCGCTCCGTAGCCTTGTGGCTCAAGCCTGACACCACCCTTCAGCCTGGGCAACTCTACGGTTCCCGGGTGGGCCGCCGCCGTTGAGGCCGCCGTCCACGCGCACCGTCAGAGTCTTATCGCCGGCGCCGCGCATGCCGAGGGCGCGGATTACAAGACCCACTGGCCGCGTTCAGCAGTACCTGGTGAACCATATTTCATGCTCTACTTCAGAATGTACATCGACATCGTGCTAGGGGCAACGGTCAGCGCCAGCTCGCTCAACTGCACGCCAGCATGCAGCGCGCATCATCCTCATCATCATCACACCCACCACCACCACCACCACCACCACCACCACCATCATCATCATCATCATCATCATCATCATCATCATCATCATCATCATCATCATCATCATCATCATCATCATCATCATCATCATCATCATCATCATCATCATCATCATCATCATCATCATCATCATCATCATCATCATCATCATCATCATCATCATCAGCATCATCATCATCATCATCATCATCAGCATCATCATCATCATTATCACCATCATCATCATAATCAGCATCATCATCGTCACCACCACCACCATCATCAGCATCGTCATCATCATTATCATCATCATCATCATCCTCATCCTCATCCTCATCCTCATCCTCATCCTCATCCTCATCATCATCGTCGTCATCATCATCATCGTCATCATCGTCATCATCATCATCATCAACAATAACAACAAGAAGGACGACACCATCTGGGCGCAGTGGGTCTCGTACTTGCAGCACGTCGTCACCGGCACCGTGAAGAGCGCCGTCGCCTTCGCCTCACGCGCAGGCGCGCTTGCTAAGCGTGCCCAGCAGCGGGCCATCAGGGCCGCGACTCGACCGTCACTGAAGGAGCCATCGGGGTACTCCATCGATCGCTTCGGCCCCAACCACTCCTGGCCGAGTTTGTTCTGGATGGCCACCGCACCATCGTCCACCCACGAGACCTTATCGACAAGACAGTTGGTGGCTAGGCGGCACTCGGCCCCGACGGCCCCGAACCCTGCCAGCCTCGCTAACGTCGCCCAGCGCATCCGATAGCGCGTCTAGGAGTACAGTCTGCCACCGCCCACTGCGGCGGACATGCGTCGGGCCCTGCGCCGACAGCGGGCTGGCGCCGCCGTGTGTGCGGACCGACTTCGGCCCACAGACTTACTTCGACTTCCATAGCCTGCTCTGGAGGAGCTCGCCATGATCCTTGACGTGGCCTGGCAGACGCAGACGTGGTCTCGCCAACCCCTGATCACCGTGGGGGTTTTACGGGCCAAGAAGGACAACGACGATCGCATCCTCGGCCTCCTGCCCGAGATCGCCCGATTCTGGTCCATGTCCAGAGAAGATCACATGCAAGAGTGTGACCGGGACTGCTTCGCGCACTGGGATGCCATTGCCAAGGGCAACTCCGCATTCCGCGGGGCATGGGCTCTTCGACATTTCACAGCCTGACGTTTCCGTCGATTGGGTCTCCTTCGCTGGCGAGGCGCTCGACTTCGACTTCCCGCCAAAGGTCTTGAGGCTCAAGATCTTACAGAATGCCGCCCTGCGGGCGTTCGCGCAACGTGGGGCCCATGCCGAGGGCCTGTGCTCAGGCACCCGCTTCGCCAAGATCATGCCTATCAGGGCCCTCGAGCGGATCTGTACTTGCCATGGGCGCATCCATCACTGCATTTGGGTGGGCGTCCAGTCACAACGCGTGCAGGCGAGCCAGCGAGCACTGCGGCGCCCCATGCTTGCCTGCCTCGCCGACGCCTCCGCGGCGGTCAAGGAGCAGGGCCTCGACGCCGCCACGGAGTGCGCCAGTCTGTGCGGCGGCGTGGCCGACGCCGGGTACATCGCCGCCGCCGCGGAGAAGACAGGGCATCCTATCCAGGCAGGGTCCCAGGCCAGATACTAGGGCATTGACCTGGACTGCGGTGTCAGGCGTGTCGGGAAGACCACCGCGCAGCGGCGCGTTCGCTCGGCCCACTTGGAGGTGCCGCGTTCCTGGAGGGCTCGCGCTGCAGGGTGGGTTGGCGGTAGCAACCTACGGGCGCTGGGCGATTCGCTTGGGCGCGCCCAGGGGGGCGTTGCCCGACAACCTTGCTGTGCGTCAGGGCCCCGCAGAGAGACCGGGCCAGGGGGCTCTCGCGAGAAACGATCCCAGCTTGGCTAACTGCGCGTGTGCAAGGGGGCCCTCTACGGCGCAGCAGCGCGGATGGGATCCTGTCGAGCCCAACCAGTGACGGCTACCACCATCCCTTACCAACGCCGACGACGCCTGGGAGTTTGATGCCGAGCAGCGCACGGGCTTCCCTGAGACCGACACCCCTGGCCAGCTCCTCGACGACATCGGCTTCAGTATCCAGCGCCAGCGACAGCCGCGCCATCGGGAGGCTACTCAAGTGCCTCGAAATTGCTACATGGAGTGCGGCTGGCCAACCCTATGCTCACCATCGCCGTCTTCGCTATGTGGGCGCGCGCTCGGGTCGCCACCGGGGCCAAGGCGTCAGGTGTTACTGCAATGGGGCCTCGGTGTGGTGATGCTGGTGAGACCGACTGCCGCCGTGCTCGGGAGTGCCCGTGTATCGCGGGCAACTCCATCATGTAAACCACCAGCCGCTTCGTTCCAGAGGCCGCTGCGCAGCAGCACATGTGCGCATGATTATGGGCACGGGGGTTATTGCCGCTGGCGCGGGCGCGCCTGCCAACGCCGCCAGAGCAAGGACAATGTGCAGGTAATGGTATCGGCTCCTACCAGCCTGGGTGCTTCGCGCAGTGGCATGGGCGCCCCAACTACGCCTTCGGCGACGCCGGTGGAGGCGCCGACGCAGCCAGCATGCCGCTGTGCAAGGTAGGAGTGGGAGTTGTGCTGTTTGCCGACCTGGACGAGGACGGCGTGGAGCTCGAAGGCGACCTTTGGTGCCCACTCCCAGGGCGGCGGCGGGCGGTCACGCGAGGAGAGCTCCTGGTACGAGTTATGGCCGCTGAGGCTACCGCGGGAGATTTCATCTACTTTGCTAACAGCGAGAGTACGTCGTCCAGCAGCCTGCTGGACCCGACGCCGACCTGTGGGGTCGCCTCCGTTCTCGCTAACAATCTAGGGATTGCCAGATTGGTGGCCATCTTCATCCGTTCACACATGAGCGCGCAGGACATCATCACTGACATGATCACTGCCGGCCCGGCATGCGGGAGCCTGGTGGCCGATGAGCTGGCAGGAGGAGCTGCCCGCGACGCCAGGGTGCCCAACGGTGATCGTCAGCGCCGCGCAGTCAGTGGGCAACAGAAAACATGCCTTCCTTGTATGCGGCTCTTGCGCGCATAATTAGAAGCCCTAGGACATGATGGAGTGCTGTGTCAGTGCCAGGGGCGGCCGCGCCCAAATCGACCAGAAGGCTTGGCTCCCGCACGCCAGAATGCCTGCCCCCAGAATGTGTGCTCTTGTGGGTTCTCAGGACAAGATGGGCTCAACGGAGTCCAGGTGCACCAGATTCTGGAACGGTTCCTCCATGGCCTTGACTAGGCAATGGCTTCAGATTTCATGCTATGACCTTCAGAATGTGGAAGGAACTTATACGAGGGCCACTCTGGGATGCAGGTGCACATAGCGGGGGGTGTGCTGATAAAACACATCGTAGACGGTTCCACGCTGGGCTGAATCTTGGTTCTGCTCCCGCTGTGGGTCCATCGCCCGTCAGCTCCTCGGTAAGCTCGGGGGCCCCTGTGCTGAACCCACAGCCACGGGAAGAGAGAATGTTCGTATAATCAAGGCGGATCTCTGGCCCAAGGTGCCCAGCAGAGCTTAGCGGGCCAAGAGGTGCAAAGAAACCCAGCATGAGGTTGCGGCGGCTTAATCATTCACATCGCTACGCGATCAGGCAGGGACTACAGAGACTCCGCCTCTTCCTCCCCCGCACTCCCTCCCTCCCTGTTTCCCTCCCTGTCTCCCTCCCTCCCTCCCTCCCTCCCTCTTTTCCCCTCGCTCCCTCCCCCCCTCCTGCCCCTCCTCCTCCTCCTCTTCCTCCTCCTCTTCCTCCTCCTCCTCCTCTTCCTCCTCCTCCTCCTCCTCCTGCTCCTCACTTCTCTTTCTTTTTCCCTCCCTCCTTCATGCCCCCCCGTCCTCCTTCATCCCTCCCTCCTTCTTTTCCGTCCTCCTCGCCCCATTGGCGCAAAGCTTTCCGGCCGCCCTGTCGGCTCAGGCGCGCTCGCATCAGATGGTGGGGCCGAGCGGGTCCTCCCACTTCCCTTTTTCCTTCTCGTCATCCCCTGGAGCCCCAGGGCCCCCCCCCCGTTTGCCACATCGTAGAGCGACCGTCCCTCACCCCTTCGCGCTCCGTCCCCTTCCATTGCATCGTCGCCATCCTTCATCGTCCCCCTCCACCCTCATACGCGCGATGCCAATTTTTTTCAATGCGTGGTCTCCGAAAATCCTGACCTTTTCCCTGGGACCGTTTTTTCTCGTCTTGGGTCGTTCTTCCTGGGGCCTGGTGAGGGCCCCGAGGCTGGAAATGACGAACAATTCCCCGTTATGATTTGTTACAACGACGCGGACATGGTCTGGGCCCCGTCCTTCTCGCCTCGTCTCTCCCCCCTCGACCTCCTTTCTGACAGCGTCAGCCGATGCCCGACGCGGCTCCGCGCGCAGCTGCCCGCACGCTCTTGTGGTGTCTCGTCGCCGCCGCCGGCGCCCGACGTGGCCGCGCCCAGCCCGGGCTGCTGCTGCGCGACGTGGTCGGGCGCTGCCCAATCTGGGGGGCGATAGCCAGGGCCGCAATGGGCCCGAAAGGGCCCCTGTAGGGTCCTGGAGGAGCCCTGCAGGGGCCTACGAGTTTTTTTTTTTTTTTTTTTTTTTGCCCCAGAGGGGACCCGAGGGGGGCCGAGGGGACCCGCCTGGCGCCCAGGAAGGGCACGAAACGGTGTTTCCCCCCACCCCCCCATCCCCCCCCCCCAGGGTTTTCCCCCCCCCCTCCTCCTCCTCCTCCTCCTCTCCCTCCTCCTCTCCTCCTCCCTCCTCCTCTCTCCTCCTCCCTTGAAGCAGCGCCCGCCGAGGGCGCGACCGGGCACGCGCACGGCGCCTCCGTTGGCTGGGCCTGGGCTGAGCTCGCGGCCGCTGGCGGGCACGCGGACTTCGGAGGAGGAAGAGGTACCCACACCGCTACCC